ACCACCACCACCACCACCACCACCACCACCACCACAACCAAGCTTCTCCCTCCCCCTCCAAGCCTGTCACCCAGAGCATTGCGCTATAGCATCCCTGTACTCACTCAGCTCAGGGATCTTTGGGGGGGTGGGGGGGAGTGTGTGGGGGCGCAGCATCAGCCCTGGTCGCTTCCTTCAGTCGCTGCTTCCCCCCAGAACATCCTCGGCCAAAAAGGGGACAGCTTACTGGGCTTCACGAAACACGAATGCAGCATAGTTCATGTGGCATCCTCTGACCCCCCCGCCACCACCACCACCCTCCCTCCTCTTCCTCCTGCGTCCGCGCTCCTCTGCCAAAAAAAGGGGAGAACGGGGAGATCCGAACCCGCGTCTCAGTATCCCAGAAAAATCAAAATAATCAAATAAATTCTCCAGCGGGGTTTTCTTTTCTTTTTCTCCACAGCCCCTCTCAGACCCTCTCCATCTCTGTTCGCATCCCCTCGGCTCAGCCACCGTGCTTCCATGTGACTCAGGCAGAGCTGGAGAGCCCCACCAGTTTGGAATGTGGCAGATTTCGATGTTTGGCGCCACCTTCTGGAGAGAAGCGGAAGTGTCGGTCTGATGGGTAAAGGTGGATCCAAGTTCAGGTAGATATTAAACGCAGACAAAACAAACACAAACAAACAAAATAATAACAATAAAAATCCTTCTGAAGAGAGAATATGTTATAAATCCCCAGCTGATAAAGATAAAGAACACAACATTTAATTTATTTACTATTTTAATTAAAGACCAAAACTTTCTTAAATGAATCTACTTGTTCAGAGCCTTTCATACTAAAGTCTTAAGTTACAATCTCTCAAACCTGGAAACTTATGAGTGCAATATGGTGCAATATTGCAAGCTCTCTTGTGATCTGTTGCTCTCTTAGAYATGACTTTCAGCCACTACAGTTTTAGCTCAATATCTCCAAAACTGACTGGGTTATACGCATTTCTTGTGTTTGCTAAAATCAATTAGCGGTACTGTCCATTATTGGATTAGCTCTGAAACATTATCAAATGAACTTCCATTGATTACTTTTCAAGACAGCTAATGTATCCAGCGGTTTGTGTGAAGTTTTGCTAACAGGCAGACACAGTTGATATTAAAAGCCCGTATTGAAACAAAGATCTCAGAGTGTGTGTTGGGAATGACTCTCAGCTTCTATCATCTGTTACCTCATTATCTGTAAAATAAACTGAGCTGTAGGTGTTTCTTTAAGTTGATTAACTGAGTTAGCCATCTTGAATCAGGTTCATTTCTAAATGTAATCTGTTGTTGATGTACATTCACAGATTACTTCATGAGAGTTTAAATRGGCTCATGAGATATTTAACTAATTGACAGATAAACACACACAAGGGCAAAAACATCACCCACCTTTTGCCAGCAAGCATTAAATGCTTGGATATACTGACAGATGAGTTCCTGAGAGCATACAAACACTTTAAATAAAAACACATCAAATTTGTATTTGATGATCTTTGAGGCCTTTAATTTTAGTTTATAACAACAATCAGTTCTTCTCAGCAGGACGGGCTCCACGTGTGTTTTTTCCTTTTACAGTTTACTATAACTCAGACCTAAATGCTCACCAAGAAACGCCATGGCTCATTTTATTTGTATAAAAAACAGGCTGGTGGTGTGTTTTTTCTTTGATACAGCTTGCTCTGTAGTCTGACCAATCATGTGCCTTCAAAGTCTTTACCTCCACCACTGTCACCACCTGCTGGAGTCTACAGAGCACTGAGGAGGAGCAGCCACCTATCAGGAGGCTGAGACTGTTGCTGTATGAGGGGCAATCCATGCCGCACCCAGTGTGTGTGTGTGTGTGTGTGTGTGTGTGTGTGTGTG